CAGGGAATTTATCTCAGGGTTGCAGGTCTGGACTGTTTTTCTGCCTCCTGGAGCTTATGCCCAGTGGCGCTGCTACCAGCTCGCTGAGAAAAGCAAGGATAAAAGGAAACCAGCACCCATTTCCTTCCCCTGTAGGCACAAGTCAAGTCCCTTGCCTAATGTCACTACCTGGTTTTCTGCTTTAACTAACTGCAAACCCTGTGCAAGTCTCTCCCAGCCTGTGCTGTCTTCTCCTCCCTGCTCTGAAGGCAGCGCTGCCTGCCAATTCCCGTGTTGCCGTTGGTTCTATGCACTAAGATTAGCGCAGACCGGAGGCTGTGCAGCGACATGCTCCCCAAGCTCAGCCTCTGCCCCAGGAAAAGCAGCCCCGTGAGAAGTAAGGAGCCAGCGTGTCCCAGGGACACAACCTGTGCAATGATGCTGAGCGTGCAGGGAACCAGCTGCACCAAGAGCCCAGGCTGGCAGTTCCTGGCCAGGGAAATCCACGAGCAGGATTAGTGCCCCATTCCTTCTTTCCTCCCCACCTCACTCCTCATGATAAGATCCACACCAGCCAGGACCCCCTGTGCCATCACCACAGCACCACCAGACATTTTTTTTCCTGCTGTTGTATATTTTCTTGCTGATGGAAGAACAACATACTGGATAGGTGGGGTAATAAATCACCTGTGATAAAGAAACTTCAAACCAGCACACTGTGAGAAAAACACTGTCTCCATATGGACAGTGGCTCGAAAGCAAGAAGGAGAAAGGAAATAAATACAAACTAAAAGGGAAACACGGCAACCTGAGCAAACAAGAGGGCTGTGAAACAGACTGCACAAGTAACACAACAAGAACAATGAGCCTAGAGAAGTGACAAAGTCAAAGAGAATGGGAGCAAGCACCATCCAGGATGGCAGGTTGTGCTGAGGAGAGGGGAGGTGAATGAGACGATGACCTGACTTCCACAACGTCTACCAACTGCAAAATACAACGGCCTTAAAGCTTTCTAGAGGTGGGATGGGAATCTGTGCTGGAGCCTCCTGACTTGAAAACCTGGCCCCAGGCTGTCAAGACACTCAAGAAACACAAGTGACTTAGGGAGCCACGATACCTGTCGAACAGTCCATTTGGATCAAATGCGAGTCATTGTCAGTTTTCATTTTTTTAGCACTGTTCTCTGAGGTAGACGTGACAAGTAAGTTTGTAGAAGAAAAATAGGGTGGCTGCACAGAGCTCTGATCCATACAGTCCATTTTTCTTTTCAGAGAAGACATCGTTATGGAAGAAGGTACGAGCATTTCTGAGGCATGAGGCCTCCCGAGCAGGTTGGTGCCAGGGATGCTGTGCTGTAAGAGGAAGTGGTCTATCCTGGCTTTGAGGGTAGGGTGAGGTAGGGGCTGTGAGTGCTGGCTGAAGGCCACCCCAGTGAAAGGATCGCTGGGTACCCTGCCCCAAGACGCCTCACTCCGGTTGCATTTTTCCAAGGTGGTCTGGTCGATCACCTTCCCGGAGGGCAGGAGCATGGGGAAGGTCATGATCTCCAGAGTGATGGGGTCCAGGAATTCTTCAGGGATGTCTTGGACGACATCCACCAGCTTGCGGAGGGTCTGCTGCTCGCTGTCGTTGGCGCTGAAGGGCACACAGTCGCTCTCCATCGGCGTCCAGAGCTCTGGTTTGAGGCTGCCGACATCCTGGGCGAAGAACTGGGAGGCTACCTGAAAGACACCCTCGATCACCTCCTGTGGGCATGATTTGGCAGGCTGTCCCCACACCTCCAGCCTCTTAATGCAAGGCAGGCCGCCTCCAGCCACATGGGTGATGCAGATTTTTAAGTGCGACACGTTGCTGAGCGAGGCGGGCCCTTTGTTCCAGAGGTCTTGAGATGCAGAGCCAGGGTAGGAGAAGACATTTTCCATCTGATGGAAGGGAGGCCTTGGCTTGAAGCCTCTGTGGCCGAATGTCACTTTGCTTTGATTTTTTAAGACAGCTTTGCCCACCAGTGTGAAGGTGTCTTTGTCCGACACAGGCTGACCAGCCAGACCTGAGAACTGACCCTCAGGGCTCTGCCAAGAGGTTTTATTGCATGAGGTAGAGGTGTAAACTTCGAGCCCGGAGAAGGTTTGGTATCCCCCGGATGAGATGTCAATATTAATCCTGCAGATCTCAATGTTGAAGGGAAAAGAGATCGTAACGTGGACTGGAGGCTTGATAAAGTATTCGCTGCGGAAACCACGATTTCTCCTGGCAAGGTCTTCGGAGATCAGATTCTCCACCTCGTAACCATCAGCAGAAATCTGTGTTTCAGGAGAAAACTGGATTTAATTTGAAGCAAGAAAATAAAAGGAAACTATAATTTCACAAGCACTTACATAGATTTTCAAGATGACATCAACTAGGAACCAAGGCTGCGGTTTCATGTGCAGCTGAGACAACAGAGGAGATCCCTGCTCCTGAGGCAGACCAGACCCACTCCCACCCTCCTCCAGCCACATGGTCCCATCCGCTCTTCTCTGCACCCTCTGTTACCTGGCCAGCCATTTGCAGAGCTGACTTCACTGCTAAAAGAGAGGAAAATTATGGACGGTTTGTGGTTTTGGCTGGGTCAGTGAACTAAATCAAGTGGGAGAGTGTGGCTGGGAGCAGAGCATGTGTGCGTGGGGGAGATGGGAGTCTCCTCTCTTTCAACAGTGGTGAAACATTATGCCAGCTTATCCTGCCATGTGGAAACGTACTCGGAATCACACAGTTACAGGATCCCAGAGAAACCTCTGGAGATCAGCTAGCCGACTGTCTCCTCCTGCTCTGGGATCAATCCTACCCATCCCTGAGGGAGATCGGTCTAACCAGGCTGGGTTCCACCCCATGTCTCCTAGAAGATGCAATCCCACCCTCTGGTCTGCTCCTGGGCAGACTGGCTCTACCCATTCCCTCTCCTGGAAGCCCTGGGGCCTAAAAACTCTGCAGCACTTGCTAAATGAACAAATAACAGCAAGGAATATCTATTTATTCCACCTGCTTAATATGGTCACTCTACACCCTCCTGATCACAATAATCACACTGAACCTCAGTAGCACTGGCCAGGTCTCTCAACACAGCATCTGGATGGATGGTCACGCTTGTACTGCTGTTTTTGCAGCACAATACTTACAAATCCAAGGCTGTCTTGGATTTTGGGGTGTGAGCTGGTGGGGAGACTTAGAATTAAAAAGTTGCTTTGAATTAAAAACTAGTTAGTATCTAAGAGATTCCGACGATGCTGGGTGAAAACTTAATTACTTCTAGAGTACAGTAACTTCAGCAAACATTGCCAAGAGCTGCATATTCTACTGGACAACGGGAAAGCTCTAATACTGCAGGGAAAAAGGTATCTCAAGTCAAAGCACGCATACCCATAAGCACATAACATTGTCTCGTTATGAGATCCTGCAAAATTAGGGCTTCTTCCTTCCAACAATTAGTGTGTGCCACATTAAAGCAGTCGCAGGAGGTTATACAGTGTTCTAACACCACCTGGCAAAGACTGACCAATGCACAGACAGGACAAACCAAATTTTGAAGAGTAACTTCTGGGAAATCTCTCAATACTGATTTTTCAAAGTACTGAGCCTTCAGCTCCACTTTTATCTTCACATGAGCTGCAGATCCCAAGCACCCAGACACGCATTCTCTTAGTGCTCGCACATCAGTGATTCTCTCAAGACTGAAGCACAAAAGGGGAAGGGGATCCAGGAGGACAGATTCCCAACATCGGTTCACAAAACCTCCTTGCTGGGAATAACAGGAGACTGGTAAGCTTGGAAGAGAAAGCTGTGAGCAGAACCACCCAAATCACAACCCTCCCACATCACCGGAAAATTATTTTAATTGACAAAAATGCTCTCAGCTCTGCAGACTAAAGAGCCTACAGCTTACCTAGGTCTGGACTGCATTTGTCCTCAACACTTCTGTCGCCAGTGGACATATACACAGCCTCCCATGTTAAAATCCCTCTCTGAACCAGCCAGACCACACAAAATGATGGGAGTTTGCTGTGAGTTGCCTTTGCTTTGTTTTCTCAGGGTAGCCTGGCATGGCCAGCCAAAAATCAGTCTTCCAGAAACACTGCTAATTATCACAGATGAGCAGCAAACAAGCCCTCTCCAGCCCCAACCAGCCCAGCATGCCACTTCCACCTAACTCCTCCATCCCTCCAGCTCCCTAAAACCCCACACATCATGACTTTACCTTGTTGCAGTGAATTCTTGGCTTGAACTGTGGGAGACAGACGTTTATTACCATCTTGGCAGTTGGAGAGACCTCACTTTCTGAGCATCAGATTCAGCTTGTAAAAAAAAAAAAGCAAAATAAAGAAAGTGAACATCAGTGAACAGTGAAAGGATCTCGTGTTTTGGAGCCTATATGAATTACAAGCTCGGTGGTTCCTAAAATGCAGCTCAGATCTGAGTCCAGGAGGTAAAGCCAATATAAACCCAAATGACTGTGGTGGAGAGACGGGATCGAGAGAAAAAATTGCATTAATATTAATCAGTGAACCCCTGAAGAATTATCAAAGAGAAAATGGCTATTTTAACTAGAAATGTCTTACCTATGGATAGACTAGCAATTAGATCTGAAAGTTCATCAAAGAGGCAGGAGGTTTTGTAGATACAGTAAAGCATGAGAATATCACATGGGGTTGTCAAAGGAATTGGTGTGAGCTCTCAGCAGCCTCAGTCGGACCTGGAGGACACGGACGGGCTGCTCTGTGATCTGACGGGGGCATTTAGCACCGCAGCCCCTCACTGCTGCGAGGTGGAAAGAGCCGGTGTCCATTCCCACCGTGTGGCCTTGAACTGCCTGTTTTGTCTCCGTGCATGCCACGTCTATCGCTGCCTTCAGCAGTTTGAGGCAGGACCTGCCTGCGCTCTTGGACAACACCCAACACAACAAGCTCAGACAGGGCCTCTTGGGACGAGGGTAACACCAGTCAGCACTAACACACCGCTGCTGCAAAGAGAAATGTTTCTTGAGATGTAAGCTAAGATTAAACACAAATATTAATAATCGGTATTTAATAGCTCCAAGGGAGCAGAGGGCATTTAATAGCTCTGAGAGAGATCATCTGTGTTCTGAACACCGGCCCAGCTGATTCTTCTGACAATGTTCATTAAAGAAACTCAAGTGAACACACCTTCTTTTCCATTCAAAAAAATGTGACTCAAATTGGTTTGATCCTTTTTAAGAATGAAATTATCTGCAAGGCAAAAGTTTTAACCTTTCGTTAACCTTAGTTTTAATATGTCATTGCCTTGGGCAACCTTGCAAATCAGGAACCCACGGCTTTCTTCAAGAACAAGCAGCTCTTTAATGATTTTCAACTGAAGCTGTTAGTTCAGCCAAAATGAAATTGGCCTTCTGGGGGCACGTCAGTCCGGCCACTGAAATGCAGAGCATTAATGAGCTTGCTTTCCCTGCCTGCTAAGCGTGCGGGTGCAGTCCGGTCTGCGCATGATCGAGCGCAACAGTCTGAAATGAGAAATGTGGTACCCACGGTACAAATCCCACATACAAAAATCAACACAATAGAAGCCAAGCCTGCAGAGAGCAGAACTTGAAGCTTACAATGCTAATGCTTAACCAAAGCAGGTGTGAACTTAGGAAAAGCTGCAGCTTGCCAGACAAGCACCCCTTCTAGCCCAATATTTGGTCTCACAGCCATCAGGAGCAATTCCTGCTCCTCAACAGGGAACACGGGAACAGGGCAAGCACAAACCAATGCTCCCCCAATACTACTTTCTTGGCTGCCTGAGCCTGAGAAGCTTCCAGTACAGGGCTGCCAGTGTGGAATTGTTCAAACAGGCTTTTAAACTGGTTTGACTTTTGGCACCTACATCTTGTGGGAATAAGATTGCTGGTTTAACTACAGGCTGTGTGACAAAACTACTCTTTTTGGTTCATTTTGAACCTGTTGCCTGGTAAATTAGCTTGGCTCTCAACACTGGTATTATGGAAAATGGCAAATCAACTCTCTTTGCTCCCTTTCTTGGAATGACTCACGATTCGCGATCTGTTCTATTTCTCCTCGCATCTCTTTCCTGCGCTGAAGACTTCTCCATTCCAATCTGACCATACTGGTGCATTTGCATTGAGCAAGTCTTGGTGAGACCTTCCCTCGATGTCGGTGAGCAGGGAGAGGCACCTTCACCTCTGCACCCCTGCAAAATCATCGCTTTAAAAACTCACTTCTCATGAGCCGCTGTCTACTGAGATCCTGCCTATGGCAGATGTCAAATTCTCCTGCGGACCTTGCGCTGTGCAACCTCCTCTTTCTAAGTGCTGCCTCGTGCTAGGCAAATCACGGATGGGTGCAAGCCATCCCTCAGGACAGACTCACGTCTTCTTCCAAGCCTAGGGCTGTTACTGAGGTTGCATCCTAAATCTTCATCCTTTCCTACCATGCTTTTAATAATCTGTGGCAATTAGCTTTGGTTAATTACAAACAATTTATTCTCTCACTCAACTTGCTGTTTTTCAATTCAGTTCCTCCTTGTTCTGCAGCATGAGGAGCTATATATATATATATATGTGTGTGTGTATTTTACAGGATTTTCTCTTACCTGTTTGTGACCCTGACAGACTTAAACAACTCAGGCTAATTTTTCCAGGTTCATCATCTCACTAAGAAAATGCACTATTCTGCAAGTCCAAGTCACTGCTCTCCTTTCTTCTGAAAAGCTCTGCTGCACTCTTGCTTCACAGCTAAAGTTGGTCACTGAGTTGCTTTTACCCATGGCTGTGTTTTTTTTACTCTTACCATGAAAACACAACTCAGAAGACAAACAGTGGGCACGAAGGGACAGATTAAATGAGAAACTGGAATGAGACTAGGACTAAGCTTCCGTGTAAAGAAGGAAAGCGAGAACTGGCTGGACACACTGTGATAGGAAAGTAAAGGGGCCGGCTGAGGCCAGAGAGGCAGGCTGGGAACAAGAATCAGCAGGGACAGGCAAAAGCAGCCGAGAGGAACTGATCAGAGCAGCAGCCAGATTCAGATGGGGACAGTGAGCCCCGGACCCCTCTAGCAAAGAGCCTGGGCTGAAGCAAGAGCTGGGGAAATGCAGACTGTAAAAACCTCTGGGACAAGAATGGGATGGAGCAGCAGATGTGGCTTCCCACGGCTACTGGTGCCATTACACCCCAAACTTGTGTGGAGGTCTCCTGTGCTAGTGACAACTCACGTGGTTGTGGCACGAAGAAGGATCTGAATTTATGAACACTTTAAAAATTCAACACCTGCACAACTGCATTACTAAAGTCATTACTCATCAAAACATCGAACTCAAAGATCACGAAGGACTTAAAGACTATGAAGTGCCATCAGGATGCCACACAAGTGTCCATCTCTCTCGAGTGCGAGAATGAAGATCTTTCGACTAGGTGGTGAAATGCAGACCTGAAGGACTGCACTCTGTCCTTTTCTATACCAGCAAGATCCTCTGTGGTCTTGGGCAAGTCATTTAAAACCAGCCTTTTTGGAGCTACTCACTAAGTGCCTTCCTGGTGTCCTACCCAAGACTAGAGAGCTGCTGCAGTAAGGAACGTGCATTGTGGTCACTGAACTAAGGTGCTCCATAATGCTGAGTATTTGAGAGAGGAAAAAAACGAGCCCAGACATTTTAAACCAGGCAGCCAAAATGAGCTAATATACAGCAACTGTCTTGGGACAGCAACCTGCTTACTGCCACCTCTCTTCCCATCCTCCACCTCAGGATTAATTTCAGCACCTTGAAATGCTGCATGGCAAAACAGCCAGAACAGCTCAGCTGCCTTTGCAGTGGGAATGGGAGTTTCATTTGCTGCTCCATGTGAAATAATCCCTTCAGCTCTGCTCAGATGCAGAGTCTGCCCTGTACACCTCAGGAAATGTCCCTCCTCTCGGCGAGAACCACCACCTGAAAGCTCAGGAAGATGCCAGCAACTCTGTCCTCACAATGACATGCAGAAATCAGACACCAGGCCACATCCTGAGCAAGAAAATAACACAGTGAGCCATGTGACGGAGGGTGAAACCAGCAGCCTCCAGAGCAGATGCTTCACACAGCCAGAGTTTGCACAGGATTCATCATTGCCCAGGCAGCGGAATCACCTGGATTTGTCAGCCCCATTCGGTGGCAGACGGTATCAACAGGGTCAACACGATGCAAATCCTCTCTGGCAGGCATTGCTGAGAGCCGAGCACTAAATTAACGTCTCAGGGTCAGAGCACCCCAACACTCAGCCCCAGCTTCCATCTCATCGCTCAGCTTTCACGCTCTGTCCTGCTCATGCACAGCTCCTAAAGGAAAAACTCAGACTGCCTGACTACCAGCCCCAGCTTGACAGTGATAGAAACAGTGAGGAAATACATATGTGCATTCCTAGCACCCAGCTCAGCTTCATGACTAAAGATCATCCCAATTCCCTCCCAAATACCACTGTTCTGCTCTCACAGAGCCACCAAATCCATCCAGTTTCATTTAGGGTGAAGAAAAAGGTAATCGCAGAGAAAAATGAATAGGACAGTAGTTTTTATTTGTCATGGAAGCATTTGAGGATGTATGTACAAAAGGAGAGCATGGGACATATGACTGTCAGCAGAGCAGAATTGACTAACACAGCAAGGCAGCCTGAGCACACAGAGGACCTGCCAAAAACTTAACCAACACTCGGAGACCATTTTAATCAGTAAACAGAAAGAGATGCATCTGGGAGGCAGTGTCAGCCTCTGAGCGAGCACTATACCAGACTAGCCAGCCCTGCTAAGCAGTGCTGGGTCAAACACTTTGTAATGGAGGTAGCTCAGTTTCTCCAAACGCGTGCGTTTGAGCAGAGGAAACCATTCCCAGAAGGGAAGCTCAACCACCACGTACCCCAGCTGCTGCAGCTGCCGCCGTTTCAAGCAGTGCAGCCCCAAGAGCCGCTTGGAGCAGTAGCAGTAGTGGTTTCGGTTGGACACCTGAATTGCCAGTTTCACCTGCCGAGGCTGCCGGTCCAGTGTAAGAGATGGGGGGACTTCAAGACAGCACTCCGATTTAGGCTCAACTTGCAATCTGGCATCTGCAAGAAGAGCTCCACCTGAAAGCACAGCACTATCCCCTGCATTTGGTGTTCCTGCTTCTTCCCTCCCCTCCTGCCCAGGAGTCCTGGCTTCATTTTCCACTTCCACAGGAGACTGGCTACTAGATGTCCCTTTTATAAGCTGAGCCATTAAGTCATCCGTTAGACTAACTCCAAAGTCTTTCAGTTTCTTATCTGTAATAGGGTCCTTTAAGTTGAAAGGGATGGGATGTCCATCCATAGCCAAATGAACCTCTAGATCACTCGATCTCGTGTGAGGCAGGATCATGTGGTTCTTCACATATTCGGGGCCACCTAACATGCTCTCGAGAAGAGACACAGCTTCCACAATTTCAGGCCTGACATAGATTTCTTGCTCTGCAAAATTCAAAACCATCTCGGTCATCTCTTGATAAAGCTGAGGTGAAAGGCGGCTGCCTTGGTAGCTCGGGCACTCAATTTCAACACTCTTACTAAGCGTGAACAGGTCCTTTTTGAGCTCATACTTACTACCTCTTGTTTTCTGGACAAACTCATCCCTCAAAGCATAGTCTATCAGGTCCTCTGGGAAGCGTTTGACAAATGCCAGGCCAAGCAAACCAGTAAGGAGATGCTCTGGATACTTCCTAAATTCATGGAGTTTCCTATGCATCTGCTCTATCAGGCTGCAGTAAAACTCTTCCTCATTCGGCGGTTCATAGTCCAGGCATCCAAACGACCACAAGAACTTGGCAGCATCTTTGCTTCGGCAGTAAGTCACCTTAGAAGGCAAAGACATGGCTACAGCAGCCATAATGCCCTCGTCAAAGTAGTGTAGGGATGAACATGTAAGAGTGATGTGCATGATGCCCTGGATGTTTACTGTAGGAATCCGAGTGGGAATGACCTTCCCAAGTTCTTTCAAGAGGGGTAAGTGGTCCACGCGACTGTAGCGGAGTAGTTTAAGCACGTTCACCAAAGCATAAGTGCTCATGTCTTCCATCTGCAGGTAGACTCTGTCTGCAATTTTTCTCATGACGTGGTCAGAGATACCACTGAGGGACTTGAAGAGCCCTAAGCAGACAGCACCCACCTCCTCCAGCATGAAGGAGTCCAAGTACTTCAAAATCATGCTCTCCACCTTCTGCGTCAAGTCTGCGGGTGACCTCCGGCCTTCACCTATGATATAAAGAAGCTGAACAAACTGGGGCAAAGTGAGGTCTTTCCAGTGCATGTTGGCATAGCTGAACAAAATGCTCAGGTAGGAAGGCACGCTACGCTCCAGACAGCGCCAGCAATCAGCCACCAGCAGCAGCTGGTCCAGGTTCATGTCCCACACTCGCCGGCAGAATTCGTTCTCACATGCGTTCAGCAGAGGGTGGGTGGGTGGAACAACCAAACGAACACAAGCTTTCAAAATATCGACGAGTTCTGAAGTACTAAACAACCTGATGTTTTTGACAGCACAGCGACACAGTGTATTAAACCTGGGTTCGGACACCAACGCTGCGTGTTGTTCCACTGGCAAACGACTCAGCTTGCAAAAATAATCTGTGATAGTTCCTGGGCTCTGGCTGCCCTTGCATACAGCCACACTGTGTAAAATCGAGTCACCTTCTTCTAAAGGAAGGGTCTCTACTGGCTCAAATTTGTCATAGCTGAGAGATTTGTATTCAGGCCTCCCGTTCTGAAACATGCGAGGGTCCTCCTTGGAGTCATGCATCTCTCTTTTATCCTTTTCTGCCTCCTCCTTGGTTTGTGCCACAGAAGGGCACGCCGAGATGGTCTGCTTGAGGAGCGGTTTGGACTTGGGCTTTGGCAGGGCATTTCTGACAGAAGGCAAAGCTTGAGAAGAGGCGTTACTGAATGTATGCTGAACCTGTGCCTTGCCAGGGCTGGTGAAAGTGTCACCGAGAGCCTGGCCACTGCTCCTAGCAGCGTGCTGCTGGGAGGCAGCTCTGCTTTTGGCATAGGCAGATGGATTATACAATACTCTGTAGTCCAGTGGATTCAGCAACTGGATTGTAGCTGCAGATTCGCTTCTGGTGTTGGCCGTTTCTGGGTTCTCTTCCTTTTCCTGCTCACTTTTGCTGCTTCCGCTCTCGGCCTTGCACTTGGCTGTAGTCGAAAATGCAGTCACCCTGCTCAGTCTTGGAAATCTTCGGCATATTAGCACTGTAGCCATGGATCACAATTTACTGGGGTCAGAATTGCTTCCAGGTACTGAAAAAAGGGCAGACGAAGAATGAGTGGCTTCCACCTAACACGAAGCACTTTTTAATCTATCCTTTACGCTACCGAAAGTGAGGTGATACCAGTGTTTCCCCTAGCCAAGGCAGCTGTTTCCCTGCAATGCCGTAAGGCAGCTGCTATCGAACATCACCTCATGCAAAGGCACTTCAAGACAAGCACCCAGGTGACCTGACATACCCAAAGTCAGGGTACATGGCAGACGGGTATTACCTGCTACTCAGCAGCTACAAGTAACCCGGCAGAGACCGTGGGAGTTAAGAAAAAAGTCATCGCTTTTTCATTTCTAAGAGACCCAAACTGCTTTTTTTTCATTCTAAACAATGAAAACATATTTTTGCAGTAGAGCTGCAGCTTCAAGAGATTTTATGTATTCAAAGAGAGCATTCTGCTACTTGTCACCATAGTCTGAAACACCAACCACCACCCGACAAGTTGTCAAAATATCCAGGGTGCCGCACTGCTCTTCGCACCTAGAGACAGTATGTGGAGGCTCTGAGCAAAGTCTCCGCAAAACCAGTCCACAGAGTGAAAGACGGCCCGTAACCTGAAGATAAAGATTAGCTGAAAAGAGAAATGTGGCCCCAGAACAAAGGGAAGAGTATGGGAGAAGTAACACAAATCATCATGAGATGCTACATCTCGAGTTGAGAACCAGAGGGAACAGAACTTTATGCTTCAGACTTGGGAGAATCTCCCATAGTTTTAGGGTCCAGAAGGCTTAAAAATGCCTGGCGCCTTCCTAACTCCTGCCTAAACCAGCTACAGCACAGAGAGCGAGGATGAGAAATTCGTCAGGAGTTAAGCTGCATGCTGCCAGCCTGCAGCGGCTGCCAAACGAGCCTGTTTACAATGATTCAGATGCTGATTTAAAAAAAAGCACCAGCTCAGCGCTCTGTGTAGCACACCCTTATCCCACCATGTGTGGCCAACCCCAAAGATGCATGAGATCAGACATTTTCAACTTCTTTAAAATCCTTTGTGCTCTCACTACCACAGGGCGCCGAGCAATCAGGAAAGCTGAAACCTGGCAGAGACACTGCAACAGCGATACGCATTAGCTTCTGTGCTCCCTGGTATGGGTGAAATAAATCCTTTACAGGCATCCCTCTGAGCTCAGCTTATACATGCAGCTTCCCAATTAGGGCTAGATCAAGATGTCGAATCGGTGCAGGCAAACTCAGTTTTGCAGCAGCAAAATGGATGCCTTGGGGGAAGAAGAGGTGGGATGAACGCTGTGGCTTTGGGGTATCTGAGTAGGAGAGGGCTGCAGTGGGGTGGGGGATCACATGCAGCTCTGGCTGAATGTAAGCTGGATTTTTTTTGAGTACAAGAATCCCCACCGTCTCCCATGACCCATTAGATGATCTACTCCTGCGTTGCAATGGTGATGCATCACCTCCTCTCAAGGAAAGGTGAGATAGCAAGGGAGGGAGGATGGGGAGAGTCAAAGTGATGGTCTTTGCTCCCTCGTGGTGCCAGATGTGGGGTACTGCCTCCTGGGGGGATGGTTCCCCACAGTAGCCTCTGCTGCCTCTTGTGCGCCCTGAACTTTCTCACAGCAGCAAAATCAGTAACAGGAGCAGACAGGCAGGCAAGACATCTCTGATCTGGCACAGGCACGAGCAGCCTGCTGCTCTCTTCAGGCTGTTTTCTCACCAGGTAGCTTTACCTCTGTCTTGTTGGGGCTTGGCTTCTGTCTGAGGACAGGATCTCAGCACAGAGTTGGCACGGGAGTGCTCCCGATCTGCTCCAGTGCAAAGTCAAATGGCTCAATTCAGTCCTTTGGGACCAACCACGTTGACTTGCACTGAGGCAGCCGAGGAGATCTCGCATCCTCTGCTCCACGGGCAGAGCTTGGGGGCAGCAACTGCCAGCTGCTGGGTGAGGAGAAGCTGCCAGAGCAGTACCCCTCTCAGCCGCCCCAGGAGGAGAGGTGAAAAAAGCAATCTGGGTGGAGAACAGGAGGCTCTGGGGGAAAAAGAAGGAAGGCAAGCTGAAATGAAGATTTCTGGAAACCGCCACACAAGGAGGAGGGTACAATAAAGAGGCCAATGCATTTTTAAGATGACTAGCAAATGGCTGACAAATATCGTGAGACACTCAATTGCCGCTAAGCTTGCTGGGCACCTTATTTGTATCTCAAAGCACACCACGAGGCAGCCCCCTGGTGCAGATCAGGCTCTGCTCCACAGACCCCAGGCACTGCTGACCCTTACAGCTGCGCTACTCCCCACCAGCCACGACCATCCCCTTCCAGCGCAAGAAGTCAAATCACGACAGGCAGGAGAGACCCTACCTCTTCTGAACTGTCTTGCGAGCAAAGGAAAGGAAAAGCCCCCTCAGAACCTGAGCAGTAAAACCCGAGCCAAGAGCTGTGACGCTGCGGCACGGCCCAGTCCTCACAAAGCCAGCAGCAGCAAGAAGGAGCTGGATTTCAAAGTGCTGCTGTTTAGCACAAATAAATGTTTGATGAAAATATCGTTTCTGGCTCTACTGGCTGTGATGTCCAGCCTGAACTGGCCGCACATGACGGACGCCGTCTTCGTGTGGCCGCAGACAGGCAGCAGTGAAGTGGGCAAGGCTCAGATCTGCACCGTGGCTGGGGGAAGGAGACTCCGTCCCCTCTGACACCATCCCCTCTTCTAGCATCTCACAGAGCGTGTCCTGGAGGACACTCGGAGGGGCTGGTTCAAGCTGCAAAAATGATCTGGGACAAGAGAAGGTTTATCCTATCTAGGCTTTCTGAGAGACTTTCTTGTCTGACTGTATTTTGCATGTTTTCTATCTATTATTCTATTATTGAGAGACTGACAAGCACTATGGAGACACACGCGTTTTATTTAAAACAAGTTCTATTTGCTGTTGAAAGGCGATACTACCTACAAAATCCAGCACTCTGCTGTTACCAGAAACACCCCTCTCAGTGATGACAGCCCCACTTCAAAGACAGAGAATCAAAGCCACAGCGTTCGCGCACCGAAGTCTCCGAAGGCGAACGTCGCGTGCTGCTAAGAATACCATCCACGTAGTTTAGCGTTAAGCTGTGACGCATTCGGGAAGCTACTGAGTGAAGAGAATATTCCTCTCCTCCCTTGCTCCAAATCCAGCAAAAAACGAGACGACCATGCGCAGGGGAGCGAGGTTGGGCTGGGTGAGATACTTCAAGCACCTTTGAAAGAAGCAGGCTGGGTCCAAGTGGCCTTTTGCCATGACTTTCACCCGCCCCCAGCCTAACTCTTTGTGAGCTTTGAAGTTTCTACAGCATTTTTCTTCCAACTCAACCTACACCTCTCCTCCATTTTCCTCTCTTACTTTTACCCTGAGTAATTGGCCTTCCTTCCTCCTCCCACTGTGCTTCTCTTCTCATTTGTACACAGCCAAACTCCTTCCCACCTCTGGGCAAGTCTCTCCAGAAATTTCACTTCCAGTGACTCCAAAAAGCCAGTCAGAAAGTGAGTTTTGGAGCTGGGCCCTGCAGCTTGCAAATGCACTTGGTGGAGGTCCTCTGGGATGGAAACATCTTTGTGTATATGTCTGTGTGTCACACTTACAGCTGAGCTCTCAACCAAGAGCGCAACTGCACAGCAGAGCGTGAGCTGAACACCAGGGATAACAACATTCCTGGAGGGATGCCACCCGCCTCGGAGTATCAGCTCTGTGAAAGGGGACAGAGGTGCACCCTGAAATGCTCTCTGGGCTTTTGGTCCCTCTGAAATGCTGAGAGGGACCCCTCAAGGGATCCACACTAGGAGACCACCCACCACTGCAGCGCACCGCCCCTTCCCGTGCTTTCCCCCTACCCAGCACCACTGACAGTAAAAGGGCAGACGGCATCTCCTCGGCACGCGCAAGGAACTCCAGGTCCCAGCAGTGCAACGCTGGGGGCGAAACACCTCGTTTTGGCCAAGAGCCGACACTGAACACCTGTACCTGGGCTGAAGACAGAAAGAACAGAAAAGGAATGGTGGTTCCCCCCCCCCACTCCCCAACAGATTATGACGTCGGAGTGCAAACCCGTCACTTCTTTTGTTTGTCTCTGCTTTTTTTCCCCCCTCCCTCCCTTTTAGGTCCCCACCGGCAGCAGGCAGGACGAAGGGCTCGGCCACCCCCGGGGGGCAAAGCGGCCGCTCGGTGGGCCCCGGCCGGCAGCACCGAGCCCCGCCACTCCCCCGGACGGCTGTACCTGCACGGATATAGCACCTAATCACACACATACACACACACCAGTGGGGCAGTGACACCCCCATTGCTGCAGCCCCCAGGCAGGGCCTTGGGGGGGTGGGGGGGCCTCCGCGCATGCGCCTGTGCCCGCCTCGCCCCTGCCCGCTGAGGGCTGGCGGCGAAGGGAAGGGGGAGAGGAGGGAGAAGGGGACGTGGCGGCCCGCTCTGGCTGCCCGCTCGCTCGCTGCCACTCACCGGGGCCCGGCGCCCGCCGCCGGTTCCGGCCCTGCCGCCCTGCCAGCCCCGTCCTCCCCCGTCGTTTCCCCAGCCAGCTTCCGGTCACCTGATATTGACGCGCTTCCGGAAGTACGGAAGCCGAAGGAGGCCGAGCAGTGCTCGGGCGGATGGAGGGGCGGCCGGCGGGTGGCGCCAGCGGCGCGGCGGCCCGGCCCCCCTCCACGTGATGAGGGGAGGGGGAGTCATGTGACACGGGGGTCACGTGGCTGTCCAGAGCCGGGGAAGGAGGAAGGAGGCCGCCATGTCGGTGCGGCGGGGTCGGGGGGGTCCCTTCGGTCGCTCGGTGCCGGCCCGGGGGTGCGTTCCCCTGGGAGCCGACCCCAGTCACGGTGGCTGCAGGCCCGGAGGGTGAGCCGGGCAGCGGCCGTGAGGTTCCGTGGCTGCCCCGGGGAGCTGGGCCACCAAGAGCCGGTTGGCCAGGGCTGTGTCTGGATGGGTTTTGAGTATTTTAAGTATTCACGGCTCCGCTGTGGCCAGATACTTCTGTCCGCTGCGGGCTTTGAATCACTGGCAAACAGTAATTAAATAAGGCCTTGAGGACGGAAGCGTGTTAGGCAGGGCACGGCGCACAGACTTCCTAAGCACTTGCATCACTTCCTAATCTTTCTACTAGGTGAATTTCCTTTTCACCTCTTCCAGCGCATCAGCCTTTTATTCCCTGGCAGCTGAGGACATGACATCTTCAGAAGACCAAGTGGAGTTGAAGGAGAAACATGCTAGTTGCGGTCAACTGTAATAAAAGCTTTGTGTTGCTGATGGCACCTTACACCTGGTCTGAGGGAAATCATCGAATCCCTGACACGCTTGTTTTGCCCTGGGAGGCACAGCTTTGTCATGAGAGAGCTGGAGACCTCTCTCGCAAAGCCGGTGTTGGGAAAAGTGCTGGGTTTGTTGGGGTTTTTCAGAAAAATAATGCTGATCTGAATGTTGCTTTAATGTGACGCTGACAAAGCAGCTGGGGCGGGATTCATTTGAGTGAAAAACCTGCAAACTGACAGGAGTTTTTGGGCATTGGGTTAACTCCCTGGTTGTGAGGGAAGGCAAAACAGCCTGGGGTCAGCCTGCAAAACTACCTCCCTGGCAATGTCCTTCTCCCCACCCCAGCCATCCAGGGATCCAACGCGAATTTGGTGGTATTTTGACTGCTTGTGTTTTACGCTTCTTCAGCTGCGTAAAGGACTCGTGCCAGGGAATCAGCCCTGTTCCCCAACCGAGCATCAGGCTGCCCATTGGTGGACATCACACGCTTCCCTGCCCTGTTCCCTGCAGCCCGGAGAGCAGCTCCCTCAAACCGGCTCCCTTCCCAAGCTCACAGCCCCAGCACAGCAGAGGTTTCTCTGGGCAGTGGCAGCCTCTGAGCCCCGGGGCCGGGGACACCACAGAGAGATGCTGCGGTGGGAGATGTGGCTGCTCCGAGCGAGGTCTTGGCGCGGGAGGGAAGGGGAATTAGTTCATGCCACTGTACCCACTACAGCGCTGGCTCCAGGGCCGGGCCTGGTGTCTCCACTTGGGTCTTGTCTTCCCCAGTGTGTCCTCACCTGGAAATCCCTCGGGTCTGAGCTTGGCTTGGGAGCCAGTGGTGGTAGGCTTGGGAGCAATTCAGTCACTTACGCGAATGTTGGGAGGTCTTGGACATCGGCTGTGGGACCGATGGAAAGCCTGTGTCTTTCTCAGTCAGTCCTGGGACAGCCCCAGTGGCTCCAGACACACCCATGGGGATCTGAGCTACAGACTGGGGTGAGACCTCGAACACAGATGTCTCGTCCAGCCCTGCGGCCACCACCATGGCCTTGCGGTGCTTGTTCTCAAGTGCTTGAAGAGCACGAGCAGCCCTTGTGCCCCAGGAAAGCAGGAATGGGGAACATCCCAGCTGGACACGGACCCGCACCATGTCCCACTCTGCTCCCAGCAACCTCCACCTCTCGCCTCCCGCTCCACCACACCAGGCTGCTCTCCATCCTCTGGGATGGGACCTATGAGAAAGCTCTTGACTAGAGGGTGCTGGTATGTCCAAGGTGAAGTCTTCCCTGTAGTTCCCCAGCCCAGCTGCAGGTCCGTCCCAAAATCCCCCACGGGACTTGCCACTTCTCCCACCCACAATACAATCAGACAAACCACACAGTCGGGTTTTTAAAATGGGGCCTTTCTCCATTTTATTTGCCCAATAAAAATCCTTCACAGTCAGGTAGAGATAGGAGAGAGAGATACGTATACATATAGATCTTCATATATATTTATATATATACATACCTCTGTACAGATATTTATATATTCACCGTAGAAAATCGCAAAGGCAGTAGCTCTTCACATCTTGATAACCCAATGGAAACATACAACAGACTAGCAGTAGATTGGGAAGTGTGGTATAGTTTTAACGAGAGTTTCCAAAACGGATACACCTTTGCTGTACAAAAATCCCAGAATGCTGCGTTTTATCTCTTTCTTTTTCAACCCCTTGTCTTTAAATACACTGACCAGAGGCAAGGTCAAGACAATGGTGTTTGGAAGTGACCGGTGGACAGGAGAGACACCCAACTTTATGGAGTTATTTTTTAAATATTTTATTTTTTAAGTGTGTACATATATATATATATATAATTTTTTAAATTTTTTTTTAAATTTTTTTTTTGCAAAGTCTCATTAAACGCAGTTCAGAGAACCAGCAACAGTCAACGCAGAAACAAAACAGTAACGGAGTCGAGTTCAGAACACTTCTGGTTTGAATTCACAGTAAGAGCAGAGAGAGACCGAGGCGTCAAGAAACAAACAAGAGGAA